ATCATCCAAGTTTCTTTCCCATGATAAATAGTCATCTGGCCAACTGCTACCTGAAAAAAATAAAGCTTAACTTTATTAGGAGATTTAAAATCAAGATAAGAATGAGTTAAGAAATCATGAGTGTGAGAAGTGTGGTGTGGGGTGATTCATGAAGGATCCGGTGGCTTGGGCTCAACATAGCCAGCCTCTGATGAATTTCCAAATCTTCTTTTTCCATGTGGTGGTTTTCGGTCTTGTGGCTTATTTCTTTTTCCATGTCCTTCACTTTCTTTCTGAAATCAATTTCAAAAAGCAAGTGAAGGACAGAGAAGTTCTAGTTGAACCAAAAATAAGTAACCAAATGCAAACTAACTAAAACTAAACCGAAAATATGTTAATTGATCCGAAATGAAATAAATTATGCAAAATTATTTTCTTTTGGTTTTCTGGATGCAAATTCGAAATGGAATATATGATATGATAATAAACAATATGGAAAATGCACATGCCTACTTTTACTGTTTGGAGAGTAACTCAACTCTTCCTCACTTTAAGTTTCTCTTCCACTTAGTAGTGGGCATAAAACAAACAGAATGTAAATTGCTTACAAGTGATGATGTCTTGAAGAGAAATTGCTTATAAAACTAGGGATGGGAGTTTCTGGTCCTACTTGATTGATTGTATTCTTATAAGATTCGGTAGTGTTACGGTGCAGATCCGAATTGGTTGCTTTAGTTCATGTATCTATACAAATATATTATTTGCGAAGTGATTTTTCACAACGGAGCTATCACGTTAAAAATTGGAGTGGTTAATATCGTTTATACCCTTAATAAATAAATATATAAATCATCCAAAAATAAAAACGAATTTAATATTTATTTGATTAGATAAATGATTTAAATTAATAATAATGATAAGAATTATCCTTAATCTAAATATATATTAAAAATAAAAAAGATAATTCTTATATATATTGTGTTGTTATCCGAAAAATATATTTTAATAAAAAAAAAATCAAAAACAGAAAACATATAAATAAATATTCACAAAGTAAAATTTTCAATTGTATATAATTGAAAAGATAAAATTGAAAAGTTTATAATACGTAATTATTTTTAAGACGATCAATTTTTTCAATGTATATTTATCGATTCAATTTTTCAAATTGAAAGATAGATTTCTATATTTTTTTATCAATTAAGAATAAATGAAATAGACTTTAGATTTTTCAATGTTTTAAACGAAAAATAGATTTTTTTTTTAATTTGTGAATAACTTTATCCTGTTAAAAAATTAATGTTTTATGTCGTATTTTTGGATCAAATAATCATTTATTTTGATGATTTTTTAAATTGACTTAAAGATAATTAAGCTCGCATGTGCAGACAAAACACCTAGTAAGATTTTAAATCCAAATGATAATTTCATTTTTTCTACTTTTTTTTTAAATTGAACAAAAAACCGTATCTAGACTATTATTTAAGAAGTAAATTTGCTTAGTTGTCAACTTCTCCTTGATTTTAGGAAAATTTGTTTATTTATCTTTATTTAAATAATTTCATATACAATTTATTATTTAATAAAAACGAATTTATATTAATAATATTATACTTTTAGAAAATAAGATAATTCTTATGTATTATATTGTTATCTTTAAAATATATATTTTTATCATTGAAATTAAAATTAAGTTCAAATATTAATAGTTAAATATAAAGAAAGCATTGCTGATTTATCAATTTCTCCATGGTTTTAAACTTCGCTTATTTATCATATTTTAATAATTTCATATATAATTATTAAATAATAAAACGAATGTATATAATAATACTAGATTTAAAAAAAAAAGATAATTTTTATGTATTAGATTGTTATCTTGAACATATATTTTCTATTATAAAATTTAAATGAATTATCTGATTTGTAATTTCTCCATGATTTAGATAATTTTGATTATTTGTCATATTTTTAATAATTTTATATAAAATTTGTTATAAAATAAAAACAAATTTCTATTAAAAGTTATAAAGAAAGCAATGCTGATTTATCAATTTCTCCATGGTTTTATACTTTGCTTATTTGTCATATTTTAATAACTTCATATATAATTTATTAAATAATAAAACAAATGTATATAATAATACTAGATTTAAAAAAAAAAGATAATTCTTATTTTTTAGATTGTTATCTTCAACATATATTTTCTTTTAGAAAATTTAAGTAAATTATATGATTTGTAATTTCTCCATGATTTAGATAATTTTGATTATTTGTCATATTTTTAATAATTTCATATAAAGTTCATTATAAAATAAAAACAAATTTATATTAAAAGTTATAAAGAAAACAATGCTGATTTATCAATTTCTCCATGTTTTTATACTTTGCTTATTTATCATACTAGGTGTCTTGCCCGCACATGCGGGCTTAATTATCTTTAAATCTATTTAAAAATCATCAAAATAAATGATATTTGCATACAAAAAAACCTAAAACATTAATTTTTTTTTACGTGATAAATTTATTCACAAATAAAAAATATATACTTCTTCCTTTTAAACTTTAAAAAATCTAAAGTCTATTTCCTCTCTTCTTAATTAATAAAAATATAGAAATCTATCTTTCAATTTGAAAAATTGAATCGATAAATATACATTCAAAAATTGATCTTACAAAAAGAATAATATTAATTTAGATAATAATACAATTAAAATTTATTTTTGCCAAACACGTTTTTTTTTGTTTTTGAATGATTTTTTTATTTTATTATGATAAATTCATGTTTAAACATTACTTATATATAAAATATTAAATTTAATTTAACGTGTGAGCCCATAGACTAATATAACTTCACAAATATATATATATATATATCATTATATTATATTATTATATTCTTTTAATTTGAAAATAATTACGTATTATAATTTTTAAAAAAAAATTATTTTCAATTATATACAATTAAAGTTTTTACTTAATTTTTTATTAAATATATTTTCCGGATAACAACACAATATATATAGGAATTATTTTTTATTTTTAAATATATATTTAGATTATGGAGAATTATTATCATTATTATTAATTTAAATCATTTATCTAATCAAATAAATATTAAATTCGTTTTTATTATTGGCTGATTTATATATTTATTTATTAAGTGTAATATCGATATTAACCACTCTAACTTTTAACGTGAGAGCTCCGTTGCAAAAAATCACTGAAAATAATTACGTATTATAATTTTTTAAAATTTTTTATTTCCAATTATATACAATTAAAGTTTTTACTTAATTTTTTATTAAATATATTTTCCGGATAACAACACAATATATTTAGGAATTATCTTTTTATTTTTAAATATATATTTAGATTATGGATAATTCTTATCATTATTATTAATTTAAATCATTAATCTAATCAAATAAATATTAAATTCGTTTTTATTATTGGCTGATCTATATATTTATTCATTAAGGGTAATATCGATATTAACCACTCTAACTTTTAACGTGAGAGCTCCGTTGCGAAAAATCACTTCGCAAATAATAGTATAGATTTTAATAATTTCATATATAGTTTATTAAATAATAAAACGAATGTATATAATAATACTAGATTTGAAAAAAAAAAAAAAATTCTTATGTGTTAGATTGTTATCTTGAACATATATGTTCTTTTAAAAAATTTAAGTAAATTATCTGATTTGTAATTTCTCCATGATTTAGATAATTTTGATTATTTGTCATATTTTTAATAATTTCATATAAAATTTATTATAAAATAAAAACGAATTTCTATTAATAATTATATTTTGAGAAAATAAGTTACTTTTTATGTATTATATTGTTATCTTGAAATATATATTTTTACTATAGAAATAAAAAAATTAAGATAGAAAACATTATAATTAAAATAAATTAAAGCAACACATTGGTAAAAGTATTTTATTATGTGAGTGTTGTTATTTATAATTAATTTTAAACATAAATCATAACTTCTTATTTTGTTTTGAATTAATAAAATATAAACTAATAATTAATTATACAAAAATTATGCGGGCAAAACACCTAGTGTATCTTTATAATTTGAAAATAATTATAAATAAGTTGAAGTAGTCCATGTAGTTCGGATTTAACTTCTTCGCCTTCCCAACCCGGTTTAAATACATGTTTTGGATGGATACACGGAACCTTTTTTCTGTTCAGAAAATACTAGGAAGTTATTTGGTTTAAAAGGATACACGGATAAATAGGAATCGAACCAGTTCCCATGGATAATCATCTGTTGCATCATCACCAAAGACCAAGTCAAAGAGTTGATTACTGAATGTCTTCAACCACGTCTACATCCAAAGGAAGCAAGAGAAAGAAGCTCCAACAAGAACATCCCAAACAGATTTTTGAGTTGACACAAAGGTATTAGACTGATGTTTCTAGTGACTGAGAATCTATAAGATATTGAAGACAAGGAAGCATTGGCTCTGTCCTTTTGCAGTTTGTTTTGCTGCTAGTACTAGTAGTGGGTAGATTTCTGGTCCGGCCTCAAATCATCATGTCATATATTTGCTGAAATGAAATGGAGCAAAAGTAGTGGTGACAAAAGTGGACCAAACACAATTGTGATTGTTTAATACCAGAAAGTAGGGTTTTCTGAAGGTGGTTAGTGTTAAGAGATTAGATATAAAATTCGAGTGGAGATTGTAAAAAGATAGTAAAGGGAAAGTATATGTGTGTCCCCAATATAGACTATAATTGAGTCTTTTATGGAGCCCTGTGCCACACAAACCCTCTTTTCTCACGTGCTTCGAATCACATGTATCAGTATATCACTATTTGGAGTCAAGATCACGAAACTGAAAGTGTAATGTATTAAAAGAAAATATCAAAAGATTTTGATGAAAATAAAGAAAGTGATCAACTTGGAATTACTTTATGAAAGAAATAAAGGTAACTTCCCCCAAAGCCTATGTTGTTTTTGAAAGGCTTTCCTCCACAGCAGAGAGAGAGAGAGAGAGAGAGAGTGTCTACAAAGACTTTCTTCTTCTTGATGGGTACATCGGACAAACCTCCTGCTCCTGTTCCTCCCACCACCTTCTCCAAATCCTTTACCACCCGGTTCTGTTCTATCTCTATACATTTCAAAGTTTGTTCCTTAAATTTTGGTAATAAATGTTTACTAATGAATGAAGGATTCATTTTAATCTTATGGATATTGCAGCATATTCTCCGATGTTGCGGGAGATATCACAATTGTCGTAGATGGAGAGCCTTTTCTACTACACAAGGTTAGTTATTTACAGACACCCACACACAAACAAGATGATTCTGAATGAAAAATGAACCAATATTGCAGTTTCCTCTGGTGGCTCGGTGTGGAAAGATCAGGAAACTGGTGGCAGAGATGAAAGACTCTTCAAAACCCCTCTCCCATACAGAGCTCCTTGACTTCCCTGGTGGTTCTAACACTTTCGAGCTCGCCATGAAGTTCTGTTACGGCATCAACTTCGAGATCACAATCTCCAACGTGGTTCCCCTCCGCTGCGCAGCCGGTTACCTCGAGATGACAGAGGACCACAAAGAAGACAACCTCATCTCACGGACCGAGACTTACCTCGAACAAGTCGTGTTTCGCAGCCTGGAGAAGTCGGTGGAAGCTCTCTGTTCCTGCGAGTTGCTTCACCCTCACGACGACATAGCTGAAGCTTCCCGCATCCCTGAGAGGTGCGTGGAGGCTATCGCTATGAATGCATGTAGAGAACAGTTAGTGTTGGGACTATCACGTCTTAACAGAACTAGCCAGAGAGGAGACTCCTCCTCTCCAGCTAGCTCTCCAGAGTGGTGGATCCAAGACCTCTCTGCTCTAAGAATCGATTATTACGCACGTGTTGTCTCTGCCATGGCTAGAACAGGGTTGCGGTCTGAGAGTATCATCACTTCTCTTATGCATTACTCTCAAGAATCTTTGAAAGGCATCAGAAACCGTCAAGAACGGACCAAGCTCGACTCTGGAACTATTGAGAACGAGCAGAGGAACGTCGTTGAAGCAATAGTTAGCCTTTTCCCAAACGAGAAAGTCCCTCTGAGTTTCCTCTTTGGGATGTTGAGGGTAGGGATTACTATAAACGTTTCCATCTCTTGCAGGCATGAGCTCGAGATGAGAATCGCTCAGCAGCTTGAGAGAGTCTCTCTCGATGATCTGCTCATACCCGTTGTCCAAGAAGGAGACTCCATGTATGATGTGGACACTGTGCATAGGATATTACTCTGTTTCTTGAAAAGGATAGAGGACGAAGAACGTAAGGAAGATGACGAGACTGAGGAGAGTCTGATTGGTTCTACGTGCCACGGGTCGTTACTTAAAGTGGGTCTGATCATAGATGCGTATTTAGCAGAGATCGCACCAGACCCGTTCCTGAGTCTACACAAGTTTACTGCTTTGATAGAGATTTTGCCGGATTACGTGCGTGTCACGCATGATGGTCTCTACAGAGCTATTGATATGTTTCTTAAGGTACTAAACTAGCCTTTGAACATGATCTCTGTGTATTAACAAGAATCTCAGTATTGATTTTTTGTAATGAATTTTTTAGGGACATCCGTTGCTGACCGAACAAGAATGCAAAAGTCTATGCAAGTTCGTGGATACGAAAAGACTTACGCAAGAAGCATGCAACCACGCGGCACAGAACGACCGGTTACCGGTGCAGATGGTTGTTCGAGTTCTTTACTCGGAGCAGATGCGTCTGAAGAATATTGTGTCAGGAGAGTCAGGGGAAGAAGGGATAATGTTGTCGTCGTCTCAGAAACTCAGTAGCGGGGTCCCAAGTGGAGCAACGTCTCCGAGAGATACTTATGCGTCGTTGAGGAGGGAGAACAGGGAGTTGAAGCTGGAGATCTCGAGGGTGAGAGTGAGGCTTAGTGAGTTAGAGAAGGAGCAGGTTTTGATGAAACGAGGGATGTTGGAGAAGTCAGGTCATGGTGGAACATTGTTGACTTCACTGTCCAAAGGGATTGGGAGGATGTCGATATTTGGTGGAGCTAAAGAAGAGCAGCGGAGGAAGGCTAACCGCAAAACCAGGTCTAGGTTTAAGGGAAAAACCGGTAGTAACCGAACAGAGTCTATGTTTTAAAGGTAGCTACCACTTATTAGCTAGGGAACACTTAAATAATAATATCATGTATTCTCCAAAATGTCTATGGCTATGCCTGAGTGTATATTGCAATGAGATTTATCAAATAATATTCTAAAAGAAAATTGACATGAAAAATGTCATTATTTTGAAGTTTATTCTCTTTGTCAAGATGAAAAGGATGAGACAAGTGATGATCCTGTCATTTATTAAGGGACTAAGCAAGAGAGTGAGCTTAGGTTGGCGAGATCATGCTCTTGAGGTTTCAGGAGCTCCAACGAGGCGTGTCCGGATCTATATGGAGATGGCAAAAAACAGAGAAGAACAAAGTTAATGCGAGAGAAGCTGGGAGTATGATGAGAATTAAAGAAGAACATTCCAAACCTGAGGAAGCTTCTGTCTGAAGGCAACGTCTAGACGTGCGTCTAAAGTATTCTCGCAGACGATCTTTCCGTCTTGAGATGCTAGCACCACCCCGCCCGAGCTTCACCATCATTGTTTGTATGAATGAACATTCCGTGATAAGCAAGAAAGAGATATGGAAACGATGGAAGAAGTTTAATTACCAGTGAGGGTCATGGGAATCAGGGAGCTTAGGGTTAGGAGGTGGAGGGAGGAACACTTTGTCGTCAATGGTGATCTTAGGAGACCCAACTTTGGCTTTGTCTGCATATTGTTTCTTAGCATCCTCGATGATCGATTCAACAACCTTCTTGTCCATCTCTCTACATCTTAGCAGCACTGATGGCTCTTTCAGCCTCAACAAACTCTTACGTACATGCACAGTGATAACTGTATAAGGACTTGTTGACAAGGATGATAAGTATATTTAGAAAGATATATAGATCGATACCTCAACGATGAGACTCCTGAGAAGCTTTTTGTACGCGTTCTTGTCGTTGGAGACACGAAGAAGGTCCTTAGCCGCAGAGTCTTTCATGGAGGTGACAACGTCATCTTGTGCTTGAAGGTACTTAATCCTACTTGCATTCAGCTGCGTCGAGTAGTCACTAAATTAAGAGAGAAAATGGAATCAGTTTGAAGCCTGAGAGTGAGAAGGTGATGATAAACAAAGAAGAGGACGCTCACATGCGCTTGCGGATATCGACCTGCTTGAGCTTACGGTCATAATCTTGACGGAGCTTACGCTTGGCAGTCTCCAGAAGCTGAAGTTTCTCGATGTTGAATTCCTCCTCAGCTGAGATTGAGATCTCGTTAGCTTTCTCTTCTGCCTCTTGCCGGATGAACCGGACCATCTGTTGTATCTGCTTTGACACATCTGCGTCGTTCATATCTCTTTCTCTTACACACACAAACAAATACAATTACAAACTTCCTTCTCATTCTCTCTTTTATAACCTCTTCCAAGAGGAGAAGCTAGACCCACTTTTTAGTGCCAAAACTTCGTTTTCATGGACCATTGACTCTTTCTTCATTTCAAAACACTGCTATTTTTAGAATCACATAATTTAAAGAAATAATCTTGTTTAGAAAAAAAGTGGATAACCTCGACAAAACCCAATAACATATTATTAATTTGTTTTTTACTCTTCATGAAAACTTTATTACTGTTTTGGTGAGAATAACTCCATTCTTGGCTAGCTAATGCTTTAAACTATGGGTGAAGAAACGTAAGTTGCTCATGTTGCAGTTGTTGTTAGCAGAGAGAATCATCATATAGATATTATTGTTACTGTTTAAAGACTTACTCTTTCCCTTGGTGCATCTTTAATACAATCACTGCCTCTAAAACATCTTCTGTTATAATTGAGCTACAATACCTACTGTTATAGATCACGAGCAATCGAAAGAAATAAAAACAAAAATATAAATTGTAGACCACTGAAGAAACCAAAAACCCGGAAACATAAGAATATAAACATATAAGCATAAGAATAACTAATTTTCTCATGTGATTGCATATTGTGACAAAACCATCTCAAGGTTGTCCAGTTTTGTCTGCCTACTAGATCGATGAACTTTATTAACATCTCACCTATACATCATACATTAGTATAAGTATAAGGTGAGATTCAGCTTATTTAAAACTCGAAAGATGTTGAGGTAAGTGTGCTTATTAGTTTCAATGATGTTGACAATATACATAAGCTGTAATTAAATTTTAAATGTTGTTTTTACTATAACTCTAAATTTTAAAGATGTTAACTTTAACTGAGTTGCTACAGTGATCGACTACAATTTTGTTCATGTTTCTCTCATCAGACTTTAGCCACCAGAGTTAACAATTTTGGAATTTCTTTGGCAAGCTGTTAAATTTAATTTTAACGTTCTTCTTTACATAATTTAATCAAACAAAACCATCATATATATTGTTATAGCGACCACTAAGAATAGAGAGAAAGCTACGAAAATATTGAAGTAAACCAAAATCAAAATATTTTCTTAAACCCATAAAGCAATCCGATTTGTTTTCTTAAACCCAAATTCATATGATAAAAAAGAATAGTAATATGATTTAGAACCGAAGAGAGTGCTTCTGATTCTGCGAGAGATTGATAAGTGCAATTTCAATTTGATGGAGGAAGATGACAGGGGGGACAGAGAAAGATGATGGAGGCACAAAGGAAGACTATTCAAATTCAAAAATTTCCAAACCCTGAAAAGTGTGTTTGATGATTCTAAGAGTGTGCTGGCCATTAAACATTTACATAATGTCTTAATATATAGTTGTGACAGTCTATTTTTCCCAAAAATATTATTATATAACATCAAACTTCTACCGAACTATGACTTTTTTTAAGATTTTCACAAATTAAAAGTTAAAAATTTATTTTCCTCAAACTGATAGTTCAAAACTTAATTAAATACGTATCATGATTTTAACCGGTTTATTATTAACCAAACTAGATAAGAAGTCCGTGCTATGTCGCGCAAAAACTCTTTTTTATAATAATAAATATATTACATGTTATAACTTATATTTTAATATCGGCTTTCTTTTGTTTCTAAAGAAGTAATCATGTCACAATGTAGATTGCATGCCGTTTATATTGATTTACAGATACTATCAAAAATTTATATTTGTTTTATAATTTTACATTATAATTAAAATACAAGTACGTGAATATCAACTAAGATAAATATCTTAGTATTAGTTAGGTAAGTTATTGTAAAATTACGAATAAATGGAACCAAATTAGACAAAAGCCCAGATCAAAAAGGATATTATAATCCATAAATATAATTGAGAACCATATATTTAATTTTGTAAACATATAATTCATAAAAATAATTAAATTACACAGCAAACTGAGATAGTTTAAGAGAATCTTATATATATATATATATATATATATATATATATATATATTTTAAAAATTTATTTTATTTTATTTGAACACACTATATATATATAATGAAAGAATGGAACACTCTTCATAAACATTTACAATTTTTAGGATGAAAATATACATCTTACAAATTTTGACAACCTATTAAAATTCTATGAAATTTAGAATGAAAAACACATCATTATGAAAAGACACATCTTTAAAAAATACAACTTTTAAGCTAAGAATATACACTTTTAAACATTTTCGTGAATTCGTATTACTAATAATAGCTATGTTGATCATATTTCCATTTAAACTTAATTTTTGAAAAATTGGTTGGTATAATAAATAGAATTTATCAATACCAAAATAAAATCCATTTAACTTATGTAATTTTAAAGATGAAAAGGCATATTCTGATATTTTTAATAATTTTATTATTACTAATATAGGAAAAGAACGTGAGATGATATTTTTCAAACCTATTATGCTCAATCGATATATCATAACTGAAATCATAAATCACTTTAATATTTTTATCTCTAATGGTAATGTTAAGAGTCAGTCTTTGAAGGCATACGTATGTCGTTTTCCTCTTTACTTCAGTTACCACTTGATAACAAGTAAACACAATACAATAAAAAAGTTATTTGCGGTCATTAGATATTTTTTAAGATTAGATACAAGTGAGAGATAGAAAGATGAGTGAGATTGAGAATCCATGGTTCTCACCGAAACGCGCCTCCTGTATGAATCCACCGACGGTTATCCCTGGTACAAACTCCCTGCCTGACTCACCTGACCCCTCTCCTCCTCCCCTTCACCTTCCTTTAATACCAACTTATCCACTCTCGCCCAAACTACAACTTCCCCTCCTTTGTCAAAAAGGTAAATTTTCGTTCACACGAGACTGTCTCCCTGGACAAGGTTAAAAGCTCAAGTACTATTCTCTCAACTCCCGTTACCAGTACTTCTACTAGATCTGTAGTTATTCCACATGGATCTTGAATTCATGCAATTACTATTGTACAAACAGTACAGACAAACATTCCAAGGATTTACAGTCCTATCACCCAAAAAAAAATATTACTTTACTACCCAATACACACTCTTAAATCATACTACAAAATCCTCAACTAAAAAAATCTAGTCAAAACTAAATCTGAAAACCACTATCCCTCTTCCCCCGAGATCATTACCTGAAACCAATTCAAACTCAACCATACCTGTTACCCCTAATCAAGCCACACCAAAACCCCCACCACCCACCCCCCGCCCCCCTTAAGACTTGGGCTCAGAGAGCTCAACCTATTGCTGACAAATCACTGACCCGTCTTGCGTATGTGGCTTACTCAGCCTCAGGAGTTCCGCAAGTAATAGTCCCAGATGAAGTGTTCCATCGAGGAGCTGAGATGCACAAATAGTTCATTACTGGAGCCTTCCTTGCAAAAACGCCATCATACCAAGCAATTCAAAGCATCCTCAACTTTCTCTGAGGGAAAGGCCAGAGGCTGGACATTAGAACCAACCTACAAGACATAACGATACTGATGAGAATAGCAAATGAATTTATTAGAAAGAAAGTCTTAGAGAAAATACTATGATATGTTGGTACGACAATGTTTCAAGTATCTCCATGGACCTCGTCAAGGACTGCTGATCCCATTGATCTCTCCTCGATACCTCTATGGCCCCACCTAAAAGGGTTACCCTTAGATCTCTGTAGCTTAGAAGGTCTAAGTTTTGCTGCCGGCCTCATAGGAGAGCCAAAAGAAACAGATGAGGTCACAAAGAACTTCACTGATCTAAAT